GTGTTCATTGATGATCAAAAACTAAACTCATAAAGCCAAATTTGAGAAACACATAGCAAAGCATCAAAAATACTTTTGCAGCATAGAGAGATCTTTTCCACAACTAAGGGCTTAAACCATAATTTACAGTCTATAGGATTTGAGAGCTCAAACACTTATTACCCTAAAAAGTGGCAAAAATTTTCTAGATTGAAATGCTAGTGCACATTGGCAATGCAGACATTTTTCACACTTTTTCTAAAGTTCTTTTTTGAGTCCTAGAAGCATAGGAAAACCAACAGATTTTTAAAATTAGTTCATTTTTAATTTACTCATCAACTCAAGATTTAAATTGATTTCTTATGTATGATAATGGATACCATTATTATCATACATAATCTAAGATATTGATTTAAATCTTGAGTAGATGGGCAAAATGAAAAGGAACTAATTCTTAAATAATATACGTTTAAAAATTGCTTTTTAAAGACAACACTCCTAAAGAATTTAGTGTTTCCAATGTTAGACATGTACAAGAAATTTTGAATTTTATTTTTGAATATTGGAAAAAATACATTTTTCATTTTTTTAATATAAAACAAATAAATTAAATTATTACAATTATTTATTCTGTCAATTGATTCATGCAGTGTCTCTGACTTTATGCAAGTATTCAAATTTTCAGATCAATTGGAAAGTTAAAAGTGTATAATATTGATTATAAGATCATATTGATTATAAGATTTGTAGCAGAAAAAATTGCTTTTTCAATTTTTTTAATATTAAAAAATTTTAATTTCAAAATTATTCATTTTGTCAATTGATTCATGCATTGTCTCCAACTTTACACAAGTGTGCAAAATTTCAGATTGATTGCACAGGTAGAACATAGAAGTTTGTTAAATACGGGATTGATTATAATTAAGATTTGTAGCAGACAGACAAACAAACAAGAAGTGAAGTTAAATAGAAGTGTTGTAAAATCACTGGTTTGCCACTAGATCTAGATGTTGGTGTGAAATGCCTAAGCTAAGGTCTTTAGTTTAGATGATCTGTCACTCCAGGTCCTGGCCCTGGTCAGTGATTGTAAGTTCTGTGACTCAGCTACTTTTTACACCCTGTGTCACAGTGTCTATCAGGCTGTTTCTGTGTTAGTCTGCAATACCTAAGTGCAATTCAATTACGAATTACTGAGGAACTCTTTGACTCAAGTGGAATGTGAAAATGATACAACTTCTTCAGTAGTCAGTACAACATAGTGGCAAACCAGTGATTTATTAGAATCAGTTCATTTTTAATTTCCTCATTTACTTAAGATTTTAACAGATTTCTTATGTATGATAATTCTGGTATCCCATGGTCAGGAAGATGTGCCAGGTGCGCGGGAATTTATTTTNGACATGTTCCACAACTTCCCTAAAATCAAGTAATTTTACTTTATGCTTGCGTGCAATTAACATCTATTTGGTATTAAAATAGATTATTTTGAGTTATATATTAAAAATTTTCATCTCTTTACAATTTCGAATGTTGAAGCGGTCAATTCATGTCCATTTTTCTAGATTTTATTTGTTTTTAGCGGTCAAGCTAAAATAATTTAGGGTAAAATTTATTGGCATATACAAATATGAACAGCAGTTATTGAGGACTGGTAAGTTGACTAAACAAACAATCCTTATTCCTTGAGATGAGTGGTCATCTTCCGGCTACTTCTTCACCTTCAAGCTGGCAACAACAATTATTCGTTGCGACTGAGAGATTGCGCTAACGGTGTGGGATAAACCCGATAAAGTATGCTTTGGCGCAACACCGGAATTTTCATCCGCCATCCTGCATCGCTGTACTAAACCTGCTATGTGGAGACATGGACGATCTTCCTCAGCTCTAAAAATCATCGCTATGAAAGAAAGAAGAATCCTAGAGAACTAGTATCTGTCTGGAAGTATTTTCTGTCGTCAATTTACATTTGGCCAACCCACTGGACGACAAGAGATAAAGTAGACAATAGTGACTTCTGTGAATTGGTGCTCAGGCTGGGAGGTGTGTTTTCTACATACCCGAAGCCTAATAATTCAATTAAAAAAAAAAAATAAACAAACAATCCTTATTCCTTGAGATGAGTGGTCATCTTCCGGCTACTTCTTCACCTTCAAGCTGGCAACAACAACAATTATTCCTTGAGACTGAGAGATTGCGCTAACGGTGTGGGGCGCTCACTGTGGGATAAACCCGATAAAGTATGCTTTGGCGGCTGGCGCAACACCAGAATTTTTTCATCCGCCATCCTGCACCGCTGTACAGCCTGTACTTAGTGTACCTACTAAACCTTCTGCTTAGTCTGCTATGTGGCGACATGGACGATCTTCCGCAGCTCTAAAAAGCATCGCTATGATAGGAAGAAGAATCCTAGAGAACTATCTGTCTGGAAGTATTTTCTGTCGTCAATTTACATTTGGCCAACCCACTGGACGACAAGAGATAAAGTAGACAATAGTGACTTCTGTGAGACTGTGACCAGATGTAGACTCACTAGACTGTCTACTCTACTGAGTACTAGGCCAGGGCTGGAAAAGTCCTATTTTTGTCTGAAATATCATGGCTCTAATGTCATATTATTTCAGTAGATATGAAATCTCGCGGCTCAAATGTCATAAATTTTTGTTTGATTGAAAAATCGCAGTTTGCACTTCACAAACACGTCACTTCATAAAATTTTCAACTTCCACAATCCGCATTGCTTTACAGTTTACCGTTCCTGCCAATATATCGTGCAGAAAAAACATAAACATCGTAATGTAAACAAATCAACTAAATGTTTTGTTGAAGATTGCGCATAGTTGCGGTTGCGGACTTGCGGTCATGTTAAAGCGGTCAGACTGCATTAACACAACACAAACTCGACTTACAGTAAAGACAAATCTTATTGTTGCCATTTGACTGTTTTAGGCTAAAATTAGAGATTTGAGGTAGCACGTGCATGGACTTTGTAAATAAATTCGTGTCTCATAAATGGCTTTTCATGGCCCGAGGCCAAGATATGGAATTCACGGCTTGGTAAAATGGAATGACGGCTCAAAGAAATGGAATCAGGGCTGTCGGCTGGCAAATCCATAAAACCACTGCTCAAAAAATTCAGTCGCGGCTTGCCAAGTAGGATATATTCCATGCCTGGTACTAGCTATAGTATAGACTGTCTACTAGTGTCAGTCTAGTCTCTCACTATCTCTTGCTCTCAAAACCCTATACCCTAATAGGCCTAATCAATTAATTATCAATTTATAATGAGAATCTAGAGCCTAGAAGTAGAAGCATAGTGACAAACCACAGATTTTTAGTCTGTTCAATTTTCATTTTATTGTCTACTCCAGAATTAAGCCAAATTCTTATGTATGATACCTGGCACTGGCAATGGCATTATTATAGATTTATAGTGGCAAACCAGAAATTTATCAGAATCAGTTCAGTTTTAATTTCCTCATCAGGCTCATCAACATTCTACACATGGTCTACCTACTCAATATTTTAATCAATTTCATATGTATGATAATGCTGGCATAGTGGCAATGGCAAGCAACAAATTTTTTAGAATCAGTTCATTTGTAAAATTGTAACTTTCTTCTCTATGCATTATTTTAATCAATTTCTTAGGTATGATAATTGATAAGCTGGTATCAGTATCACTATCATGCTAGATATGAGTGGTATCCAAAATACTAGATTACTAGTAACTAAGTTCGCTTATAGGACTCAGAAATTAACTTGAGGAAGACTGGAAGAGCAACAAAAAATATTCTCTTCTGCCACTATGAATGCTGGTATGTGGTATCCATGACATTTTAATGATCTACTACAGTACTACTTATGGCTATGGGACTCAAAAATGAACTATGGGAAAAGTCTAAAAAAAGTCTGCTTTGACACTATGCCTAGAACTTGGAAAGTTGGAAGTATTATGGAGTGGTATACAGTACACTATAGTATACACAGCTCAAAAAGGGGAAATCATGGCTTGAAAATCCATAAAATCACGGCTCAAAAAATCCAGTAAAGCTCAAAGTATAGATGTTTTCCTCAAGCGTGGCTGCATCATTTTTAAAATTTCCATTTTCCAGTTGGTTAGATGAGGCTGTAAGCAAAGTTTACAATTTGGTAATTTTGGTTGCAATGCAAATTGCAGTTCTCTACTGCCATACCTGGGGATTTGAAAGACAGGCTACGCTCTTCAAGGTTGGTTTTGAAAGAAATTTCAAGAAAATTATATTTGCAACACATCTTGAAGACAACTGGCGATGCATCTTGAAAACTGCTGGGCATAGTGTCAGAGTAGAGACTTGCAGTTTTAGTAACAATTAGATAGGAGATAATTCATCTAGCACTTATTTTGTAGTTATGAGAATGGTAGAAAAACTTGATCATGGCTCATACAGTCATACTGTAGATATATTTCATGTCAAGAAAGATGTAGGTTTATGGAAAATTTTCCCTTGCAAAATGTGATATTTTAAGCCAATTGTCTGTGCAGAATAAGCTAAATTTTTTCCCTCTGTGCAGACATTTGCACTAATGCAGGCCATTAATTCTAAGAAGAGCACACAGAAACAGCTTGTCATCATGGGGAACTAAAAAAATTACTGAATGCGTGTTAGGTGTTAAAATATTCATTAAAGATAGAATAAGTTTTTTAATTGAATATATAGGTATGTAAATGCACTCACCAAGTTTTGTTGTTGATTACTGCATCATCAATTTCTTGTTGGTAAAACTCAAGATCAGGATGACTGCATAATTGCATAGACATAATTTAATTTTATCTATTATTTAATGAGAATCTTGCACCTCCTAAATGACAGAAAGGTTCTAGCTGATTAAGAAAGTAGAAATATTCCATGCCTGCTTGGGGCCTCAGCTACCACCTCAATTACCTGTATAAATACAACATTCTTGTTGCACAAAAAATTAATCTGTTTCTTGACATTATATTCACACTTGCATTTCTGTAATATTAATTGACTTTTGTTTTCCACAGCTGCTTGACATGCTCCAGGTTTCAAATTTGTTTGTTGTTTGAAAAAAGTTTCCTTATCAAGTGTGCAAATATCATTTGATAGTCAACTTCCTTGGCTTTGATAATTCTATATTCATGATAATATGGCAAGCTCTCAAGATAGTTATTACCTCTCATTGTTGGCTCTCGCGGAGTCTTTTAGGATGGAACATCCTCCTAAGATTCGACATTCACTGCACTGTTTGAAAGCTGTGTTTCTCTGTGATCCTCCTCCAAAGGCAAGTAAAATATCCTTCTGAAATACACGTCATCTAACATAATTGAAATTAATTTAGACGATAAGCCACCAACTTATTTATGAATATTAATTTTGAAACAATAAACAAATTACAAATGCTCCTTTTGATCCAGAACTTAACATACCATCAAGATTTTTGTTGAAATTAAATTATTTTCTTATTTATTTATCAGGTTGCAGCCCGAACACACTTGCAGATCTCCATTCTGCTCTCCCGGCATGCAAAGAATCCTGATCTCACCAAGAGTCATCTTCAGCAAGCAGTAAGATATATTATTTTCTAATATTTTGGTCCATTTTCCATTTTTTTGTTCCAGCCAGCATTTATTTGGTTTGAATGGATTATGCTGATTAATGAAATTGGTGAGAATTTTTTACCTATTATTTTATATCATTGATGCTGGGAATGCTTATGAAGCAATGGGGTTACATGTGGTCAGCATTTTTTTATGAATTTATTCAAATTAATTTGAATAAATTTAATTTCATTTATTATCATATTGTAGAAACATTGTCAAATGACACCAGCTGATACTTACAAATGTTGCAAATTTTTACAGGTTTCATATATTTCTGAGCAATACCAAGCCATGATCTAACATCTATTTTTTCATCTAGTGGAACCTGTCTCAGAACATTGCTGGTTTTGATGATGTGCGCTTTGCCTCTGCACATCACCTCAGCACCTGCCTTGTTGAAGAAAGCCTCGCTGTTACTCCGGCTCCCTCTGTAGGCAACAGCGCTGCAAACGTTCCTGAAGGCCCCAGTATTGATGCTGCAAAGGCCCTGCTTATGAGGGCTATTGAGATGTCTTCTCAAAATTCACACTGGCACTGTAGGCTTCTGCTCCATGCTGCAGTCAGTGTTTTGAATTTAATATTATGTTGTTTTAAATGCTTATTATCATTTTACTTGATTTGTGTTGCAAATTTGACATATTATGATTATACATATCTTACAATTACTGTATCTTTATCACTAACACAGTAATTTATTCCTGAGTTAATTTTTATTTCAGCGTGTTTCTATTATGCTACAAGACCATGCCTCAGCCATCACTTTGCTACAAAGAGGCTTCGACTACACCAACATGCATGATCTTGGCTACTTGCGCATAATTTTCCAGTTGTCTAAAATAATGGTAAGTTCCTAGCCAAGTATACATACTCCAAAATTTTGCTCAAATTCTCTCAAACAATTTCTGCACAAATTTACATACTTTTTATCATATATGTGTATAAGGTAAACAGTGTAAGTATAAATATCATATCTTTCTTCATCATGAATGCATCCATACCTACTCAAACTCTGGTGTGTCTTTAATATGTTTGTATTCTAGCATAAAGACAGCTTAAAGACAGGAATTTTAGTAGCTTGTGTGTTTGAATTCTATCACTTCAGCAGTTCATGTGAATACATTGTGCTCTGAATTATTCATGTTATAGGTATTTGGTTATTGAATTCCATCAATCTAAATTTATGTTGCAAGGGCTTTGTTGAATTTGAGGAACAACAGATTATGGTTAAATCTTGAGTTTATTTACTATTATTTATTATTCAGGTGGTGATGTCACGGGGCTATGATGGTATTCCTCCCAACGAAGTTCAACAATTGCTCTCCCAAGCCATCAATTCCATTGGGACTGTCAATGCTACTGCTTCACAGAAAGAACATTTAAAGGTTTGTCAATTATTAAACTGAACCTCGGACAAGTCAAGAGCGCCAAGCCTGTCCTCAAGCAGCTGCAGCAAAGCATTCAAGCCGTGTCTCAAGGCCCACTGCTTGAGAAGGGTTAGTTATCTGCATTTATATTTTAAACTTGATTTATTTCTTGAATTATTAATTTATAATGTAAAATTTGTTGGTTTGTATTTAGGTTTATGCATTATTTCTTGAATTGTTAATATATATAATGTAAAATTTGTTGGTTTGTATTTAACCCTTTCACGGGTAAGTTACCATATATGATCACTTGAAATCGCGTCACAAAAAGCCTCACCACGGCTTCCTGTTTGTTTTTGAGGCATCCTTATGATGCCTCAGTCAATCACTAATTATCTTACCATCGTTCTATCTAAAGCATCACCAGCTGCAAAGTCCACAAATTGAAATATGAGCATTTAAATTAAGGTTTTGACTCGGACAATGGAACTGACGCTCTTTCCGCATTTTCTTCAAAAGGTGGAAGCATCAATTTATATATTTATTTATTTTGGCAACTTGATTAAATTTAATTAAATTAAATTTTTGTGTTTCTAATTTTTCGTTTGCATAGACTGAATTTTAATTATAAAGAAAAATTTTGTGTACTGATCGCATTTATTGAATTCTTCAAGTGCGATGCAAACCTTCAATAGGCAGAATTTGCAAAAATTCATATGAATAAATATATTGTATAATACTTCTTACTTTCTTGAAATGGTTTCTGAAATTTTAATTTCTGGATATTTCAATGCTTGCCCGCTAAAGGGTTAAGTTTATGCATCCAACTCTTTGTCAAATCCAAAAGAATCCATCTCCTTGTCAAATATTGTGCTTTGTTACTATATTATCTTTATTGTTGAGGTATGATTTTTCCCCAGACTTTGTGGTAGATAAACTTCATGTTTCTGTAGTTAAACAACTAACTACTACATGTTGTGTCTGTAGTTGAATAACTACTACATGTTGTGTCTGTAGTTGAATAACTACTACATGTTGTGTCTGTAGTTAAATAACTACCGGTACTACATCTTGTATCTGTTTTGTTGAGGTATGATTTTTCCCCAGACTTTGTGGTAGATAAACTTCATGTATCTGTTGTTAAACAACTAACTACTACATGTTGTGTCTGTAGTTATATAACTACTACTTGTTGTTTCTGTAGTTAAAGAAGTATTACATGTTGTGTCTGTAGTTAAATAACTACATGTTGTGTCTGTAGTTAAATAACTACATGTTGTGTCTGTAGTTAAATAAGTACATGTTATGTCTGTACTCAAATAAATACGTGTTATGTCTGTAGTTAAATAAGTACATCTTGTGTCTGCAGTTAAATAAGTACATGTTGTGTCTGTAGTTAAATAAGTACATGTTGTGTCTGTAGCTAAATAAGTACATGTTGTGTCTGTAGCTAAATAAGTACATGTTGTGTCTGTAGTTAAATAAGTACATGTTGTGTCTGTAGTTAAATAAGTACATGTTATGTCTGTAGTTAAATAAGTATTACATGACGTACATGTTGTGTCTGCAGCTAAATAACTACATGTTGTGTCTGTAGTTAAATAACTACTACATGTTGTGTCTGTAGTTAAGTAACTATACATGTTGTGTCTGTAGTTAAATAACTACATGTTGCGTCTGTAGTTAAATAACTACATGTTGTGTCTGTAGTTAAATAACTACATGTTGCGTCTGTAGTTAAATAACTACATGTTGTGTCTGTAGTTAAATAACTACATGTTGCGTCTGTAGTTAAATAACTACATGTTGTGTCTGTAGTTAAGTAACTATACATGTTGTGTCTGTAGTTAAATAACTACATGTTGCGTCTGTAGTTAAATAACTACATGTTGTGTCTGTAGTTAAATAACTACATGTTGCGTCTGTAGTTAAATAACTACATGTTGTGTCTGTAGTTAAGTAACTATACATGTTGCGTCTGTAGTTAAATAACTACATGTTGTGTCTGTAGTTAAATAACTACATGTTGTGTCTGTAGTTAAGTAAGTACATGCTATGTCTGTAGTTAAATAAGTATTACATGACGTACATGTTGTTTCTGTAGTAAAATAACTAGTACATGTTGTGTGCAGAGAGCTGCGGTAACTGCAGTGAGGTACAGTGGCTGTCAAGAGCAGAGCTCGGCGTGCTCGTCTACCTGGTGTCAGTGCGGCACTCAATGCACGCAGGCTACATGGACAAAGCCCACAAGTACACCGAGAAAGCCCTCAGCCAAATTTCCAAAATACGAGGTAAATTTATTAAAATTTTGTTTTACTAACCTATTTCATCCTTCTTATTGAGTTTGGTTTATTTTTATATAAAAAGCGTATGAAGTCATTGTTCCTCATCCATTACTTTAGTCTTCATTCAGACTAGCAGAGGATAATTTTCCAAAATTAATATTACCCTTTAATCTTCAAAATCATAATATTTCCTTACCCTGTCTCCCATTCATACCCAAGAATTTGACCGACTTCAATTTTGTTATTCATCTTTTTAAACAGTTAGGGACGGGATTTTAGTTTCCAATGAATATTATCTCAGAGTTACAGATTTCTGTACTCGCATTCAATTTAGTTTTTGTTATTGATCTGATTGATCAAATTTTCATATATGATCAATATTTACGATTTTCAGTGCATATGCCGTGTTTTTATTAGACTGAATTCATTAAAAATGAAGATTGACACACAAGCTTCGTTCCCTTTTGCACGCGATTTAAACAGTGCTTCATAATATACCGAAATGCCTGTCTTATATTGCAAAGCTTTCTACAATACTGCACATAGAAAACAGGATTTGAAACATTTGTATGTGTCTGCAATGAGAATGCTTCACATTGATAACAATATTAGAATCTCTACGCCATGAGAATGTTTCACATTAATTACAATATTATAAACATTGGTATATGTACCCCACGAGAATGCTTCACATTGATAACAATATTAGAATCTGTACGCCACATGAATAGAATTAAGACATGACCGCCTGTGTGATGGGCAGAGAGCAGCAGCGCGAGTCGGTGGCTGGAGGTGTTGCTGGTGGAGCACACGGCGCTCTGTCACCTCGTCATGGGCAGCAAGCAGGCCTCCCTCGCCTCCATCTGCCGGCTCTCTGAACTCCTGCGCGCCCAGCCTAGTCTCGCTCAGGTTATCCATCTTTATCTCAGCTCCCTTGTCTTTTCAATGTTTTTTATGTAAATTAACATTTTTAGTGTAATGTTCCTGCTCCTGTGTTGAGCGTAATATACTAAATTAGCTGTAATTGGTAAACCCCGCTAGTCTAAGTTCATTTTAAGCTATCGAAATGGTTAACTGTAAATCTTTTCAATGCTAACATTTTTTTTCTTTCAAGCTTTCTTTGTCCACATAATCCTTGTGCTTTATTCGTTCCATTATTCATCTTTCTTATTCATTCCGTTATTCTATTACAGAATTGTCGGTACCAACATTCTTGCTTTAACTCCTTCATTTGTTGGTGACTTCCTGGCTAGCCAACTAAATTCCTGGCTAGCCAACTTAATTCCTGACTAGCTAACTTAATTCCTGGACTGCCAACTTAATTCCTGNGCCAACTTAATTCTTGGCTAGCCAACTTAATTCCTGGCTAGCCAACTTAATTCCTGGACGGCCAACTTAATTCCTGGCTAGCCAACTCAATTCCTGACTAGCCAACTTAATTCCTGGCTAGCCAACTTAATTCCTGGACGGCCAACTTAATTCCTGGGCGGCCTACTTAATTCTTGGGCGGCCAACTTAATTCTTGAGCGGCCAACTTAATTCCTGGCTAGTCAACTGCTTAATTATTAATCCTGTTTATATCTTGCCAATTTTATTCTGTTAATATGAATGTGATAACTTTTCAAAAAGCTACATAGGTACTTGAGCCGTTATTGCATCCCGGTTAACTTTCAATCTAAATTCATTTATAGATATTTATTTTTTTATTTTACTAAGATCGATTTCCGAAATAATATAATCTGTGTAAAATTTTTTGTTTTACTGTGCAATTCTTTGTTGCAGTTCGTAGATTTTCCTTCACAATTGATTGGGCAGTGACTGATTTTATTATCTGAAATACCTATACAAAAGTTTCATTCATTTTCTGATGCTTGGATTGTACACGCTTTGCCAAATAGGGCGATTGTCCTTGTTTGGTAATTGTTAGAATTTGCTAGTTCATTTAAGCTGCTCAACAGCTAGCTGTTAAATATATATGTTCATATAACTTGTGTTTAAGTAATGATCAGCTTTATATTTGCCCCCAGAATCACGTGGCGCAAGTTCACACACTAATTGCTGTCTATGCAATGAGTATGAACAACCTGGACGCTGCAGAACAGCAGTTCAATGCCGCTCTTCGGGCAAGTGGTTTTGCGTTGCGTTTCATCCTATTCTTTCTTGTGGAAGAGTACTTTTATAGGCATTATTTAAAGATGACTTTTATGCTTCTATGTAATAATTTTTATAATAAGGTAACATAAAGTTTTAGAAATCGCCGGAGTTCATATCTTAATCAAGAATTCTTTATAGATACAATAATAATTACTAAATGATTTAAACCGTAAACCCTCCCCACATACGTGCAGACATCTCAAAATCGGGAGCTTTGGACCTTTGCGAACCTAAATTTAGGGATCGTGTACCTGCGGAGCGGCCGAGAACAGGACTTCGCGGCGCTGCAGGAGCGCATACATCCCGACGCTGTGAGGGCCTCTGCCCACGGCATCCGAGCGGCCGCCTACTACGTCCAGGGCATGCACGCCTTCTTCACTGGGAGCCATGATGATGCCAAGTCAGTTCATGTCCATGCCGATACCTTCAAATGGTTCTCATTTTGTGCTAGACGTGTAGATATGTAATGTTAATTATGTCATTTTGAGGTAGTTATGTTATGTCAATTTTGTCATTTGGTGGTAAATATGTGCTATGATATTTATGTCATTTTGTGGTAGAGATGCTATGTTTTAGAGAACTGCCAATAGGACAAAGTTGTCTCAGAGATACTATACAGTCTAGGCTCACGGAAAACGTTTGCTTACAAAACAAAATTTTCTCCTCAGACGTCATCTTCGTGAAGCCCTCAAAATGGCCAATGCAGAGGACCTGAACCGCCTGACGTCGTGCGCGCTGGTGCTGCTCGGGCACCTCTTCTTCTGCGCAGGCTCCCCTCGCGAGGCCGCAAACATGGCCAGCCCCGCCATGCAGCTCGCCTCTAAAATACCTGACCTACACCTGCAGCTCTGGGCGGCGTCACTACTGAAGGGTAAATACCTGCACCTGCAGCTCTGGGCGGCGTCACTACTGAAGGGTAAATACCTGCACCTGCAGCTCTGGGCGGCGTCGCTACTGAAGGGTAAATACCTGACCTGCACCTGCAGCTCTGGGCAGCATCACTTATAGGGGTAAATAATTGACCCGCTCGTACTGCTCTCAGCGCATTGTTTCTTAAAGGTGGATAGCTGTCTAGAAGCTTTGGTCAGTAAAATGTATGCGCTAATTTGATATTTAGTTTGTTAAAAATATATTTTAGTTTAATCAGTTAACGGATTAAAAAGTTCTGCCTAACAAATACAGAGATCATCCATTATTATTTAATAAGCACAGCACATTTTGTCTGGGCTTAACAGAAAGTTTCCTCCCGATATTTCTACTAAAATTTCCTTTACTTTAGATATAATTTTATTTCACTGTTTTCTACAGATAAGCCTTTTTCTTAAAATATTCTTAAGTTTTACTCCGCAGTGATCTCCATGCATTTCTTAGTCCGAAAACACATAATTATCGTAAAAATATACGTATGAAATTTCAGACCATTCCCTCATCCCGCANCCTTTCTGTGACAGTTTGTGAGGCTTAGACCACGGGGCCTCTGCCTCTCTGTGACAGTTTGTGAGGCTTAGATCACTGGGCCTCTGCCTCTCTGTTGCAGTTTGTGAGCATTAGACCACTGGGCCTCTGCCTCTCTCTTGACAGTTTGTGAGGCTTAGACCACGGGGCCTCTTCCTTTCTGTGAGACATTGTGAGGCTTAGACCACGAGGCCTCTGGCTCTCTGTGACAGCTTGTGAGGCTTAGACCACGGGGCCTCTGCCTCTCTGTGACACTTTGTGAGGCTTAGACCACGGGGCCTCTGCCTCTCTGTGACAGTTTGTGAGACTTAGACCACGGGGCCTCTGCCTTTCTGTGACAGCTTGTGAGGCTTAGACCACGGGGCCTCTGCCTCTCTGTGACAGCTTGTGAGGCTTAGACCACGGGGCCTCTGCCTCTCTGTGACAGCTTGTGAGGCTTAGACCACGGGGCCTCTGCCTCTCTGTGACTGTTTGTGAGGCTTAGACCACGGAGCCTCTGCCTCTCTGTGACAGATAGTGGTGAGGCTTAGACCATGGGGCCTCTGCCTCTCTGTGACAGTTTGTGAGGCTTAAGACATAGAGCTTTCTATCTGTGACGCCTCCTGAAGCCTGGGAGACGACACCTCAGCCTCTGTGACGCCTTGTGAGGCATTAGCCACCAGCCTGCTGTCCAGATTTAAGACATCGTCGCCGATGTCTTAAGACGGCAAGGTCACGAGGCTTCTGCATCGTTGTGGGGCTCGTGAAAAAATTTTTTACTCCGTTTAAATTCGTTGGTCTTCCGGAGTTCTTTATTTGTATTTTAAATGGTATTACGAAATAGCCTTGTATTTATAACAAAAGTCTTTTTTATACTACTTAATGCTATATAGTTTCGCGCACATTATAGATCCTGATTGAATCGTACCTGAATATTGTTAAAAAACATAGTTTGGAATTTCCGTGCCAAGGTGTTCGTTTCCTTATCAAAATGATGTGGTGTTCTAATGAGACTTGGTAAACTAGTTGAAGATTTTCCCCTCAACGGGCGAGGTCAGTTGAAATTGTTGTTCTGTGCATGGAAGTTACTGTCTAGATTAGTCTGAAACTTTCTCTCTTTATATTTTATTTTGAGTTGTGCGTGAATGTGACCAACATAGATTCGTGTGTGTTTATCAATTCGATACGAGTTTTTACGAATAGTCATAAATATTGAACATTCCTGGTTGAATTTTGTTGTTGGAAACTTCAAGGAAAAAGTGTTTTACATATTCTACAGCATCTGTGAATAATTTCTCTATACGAGTTCATGTAAATATTTCCCAGACTAAGATGACTCGTGTTAGTCGCTATTAGGGAAAACGTTGCAGCGATTCATGTTCATCTCCATGTCATGTATGATTGCTTCCAAGTCATGTATTATTACTTTGCCGATCATTACATTGTAAAGTCCAAAATTCTTCGGTTTCATTAATTCCTGGATCATAATTTGTTTATATAATTCTGCGTAAGTAATATGCCGCATTTATCGAAGTTACTTTTCGGAATTTGTACGCTCTCGTCTGCCTTATTTTTAAGCTATTCAAAAAATATCAAATCGAACAAACGATCTAATGCACACAAATAAATGCACACCAACTATGTGAAAATCTTCCCTCTTGTAAATCAGTGTACCAACTACCAAGGGTCCTTGAGGTTTGTAAAAAATTAAAATTTATCGAACTTAGGGGAAAGAAGCCTGAATGAATGAGCCAAGTTTTTCTCATTGATGAAAACCAGATTGGAACTAAGTGGGTGCCTGCAGTACATGTATGTTAGGCGCCTGCAGTACATGTAAGGTGCCTGCAAAGAGCACGCGAGCCGCTATCTCACTTTCATCTCGATACAATAAAAATAAATATATTGCTGCCATATTTGAAGAATTATCTCATGAGCATACCTATAACAAATTTTTAAAAACGGTAAATTTATGTCTAAGATAGTCTATTTTTCACGATGTATGTATTCCAGATATTTTTTAACGCGGTTTCTAAATTCAAAATTATTTTTGGCGACCATCTCACGGCTTTGCGTTGAAGTGTTTCAAAATTATATTTTATCAGAATATAAATAGATAATATAAATTTTAAAACAGGGAGATTTTGATTATAGAAATTACAGTAAAGCTGTTTATCTGTGTCAACATGACTTGCTTACTTTCTCTGAAAAATTTTTTTGAGCGCTATACTAGTTGAAAAATGACGTGTGTTGGTTATTTCTAAACGGAGCGAAAAGTCGTTTCGAAATGTTTTGAAAATATTGATGTATCATGCAAATTATTTTTCCCCACCATGGTTAGTGATTTGGCCAAGGTTGAAAAAGAGAAGGAACATTCTGACAAGGCTCCCAGTCGTTAGGCACTCAGGCTTCTACACGAAAGTAGTTCGGAAATACGGAGTCCACCATCAACGTAGAAATAGCGGTAACAGATGTAGATTACATCCATTGTGTTGTGTTATATGGTATAATAGTTTAGTCGTGTCGACGTTGAAGAATAAGCCTGCCGTCGATTCCTGTACTTTTCGTGACTTGTTCACATGTGATCTAAAAACTGTCCCGTTGATCAGATCGTTACAAAAATCAATCATCTGTAGGCAGGGAGTTGGATTTATAGAAAAACATTTAGTAAATGAAATTCATTGTTCTTATTTCATTCAACACACTGGCGAACCACGTACTCTTCTTCATAAGTTCTTAATCAAAGCTGTAACATTATTTCCACATATTCTGCGCGGGAAAATCGTCAAAAAATATGTTATGATGTTAAGACAGCGAGGAGGATAATATTAATGAAGGCAGTTGGTCTAACACAGTGGTTCCCAAAGTGGGCGATATCGCCCCCCTGGGGGCGGTGGAAAGAATCTGTTTTTTACCCTCTCCTGGGTTTACGTCTCGGACTTAACGGCCAGACTCGCGGCCGGTCTCACGGTTAATTTCCAAATTCAAGGATCAAGGAATATCTCTTAAACTAATGAACTTAACTCAATGAAACTTAGTACACGTATTCATGGGGACCTAACGATAATGTTTAGCTCGTGAAAATTGTTTGAATTTTGCCATCGTTTGTTTTTGCCATATTTATATGGCAATACGGGCCGAAATTCACAGTGATCAAGTAATTTCTTCCAACTACTGAACAGATTCATACGAAATTGAATTTGCAGTCCTAACTACCGAACGGTAATGTTTAGCACGTGAAAATTTTTTCGATTGTGCCTTCGTTCGCGAACAGTCCTAACTACCGAACGGTAATGTTTAGCTCGTGAAAATTTTTTCGATTGTGCCTTCGTTCGCGATTTTTTTTTTTCATTTCACCTTCATTCGTGATATAAACAGCAATACGCGTGTTTAAATTCGCAGTAATCAAGAATTTTTCTCCAAACTGCTGAACAGATTTGATGGAAACTTGATATTTAAATACCTTACCTCAGCAACGGCGATGTTTAGCTCGTTAAATTTTTTCGTTGTACCTTCGTTTGCGATTTATACGGCTTGGTTAAACCGGCCGGTGGAAAAGCCGGTCGTTCCTCCTATATTTGTATAACTCGCGAACGAAAACAAAACAGAAAAATTTTCACGAGCTAAACATCACCGTTGGGAGGTTAGGTATTTATATACTAAGTTTCGTTGAAATCTGTTCAGTAGTTTGGAAGAAATTTCTTGATCGCCGCGAATTTAAGAGACAAATTACCCGGCGATGTGGGTCGAATATGAGGAAGTGTGAAATCAAGAATGACGGTGAAATGAAAAAAAAAACTCGCAAACGAAGGTAAAATCGAAAAAATTTTATACGCTAAAAAAAATCACCGTTTTGTAGTTAGGAATGTATGTATATTCAAAATTACGTTCAAATCTGTTCAATAGTTTGGAAGAAATACTTTGATCACTGCGCCAGTTTCGCAATATACTCGTAACTCATGAATGAAGGTGAAATTAAAAAAAAATGTACGAGCTAAACATCACCGTTAGGTTCTGATGAATACATGTTCCAAGTTTCAACGAGCTGCGTTCATTAGTTTGTGAGATATTACTTGATAATTGAATTTGGATATTGGTCGTGAGACCGGCCACGATTCCGGCCGTAAATTTGCCCGTGACTTCCTAGGTTTCTAGTGCTGAAACAGTTAAAACAGTTTAAAAACTTATAGGTTCACTAAATGGGGTTCTATTTGTGAAATACACATTTGTGTTTAACCTTTCTCTTTTAAAATTGCAGCGTACTAAATTTCAAGATAGAGGGGTATGTTTTTATATGTGTCTGTGGTGGGCGCTAGAAATTCACTAGGGAGCCAAAGGGGGCGCCAGCCTGAAAAAGTTTGGGAACCACTGGTCTAACAGTAGCGTGGTAGAATTACCTAACATCTCAACCTAAGCTATCCGACCACCGATGCGTATGGAACCATGCGACGACATGCGATAATGCGAAGTACAGACTCGACACGCTGCGGTGATAAGGTGATATCGAGAATTAATATTCAATTTTAAACA